AAGAAGCCGTCGACGCGGATCACACGTGAGATAGGAAAACGTGCCGCCTTCTATCCATTTTGAATCGGAAAATCAACGAAACGTGAATACATGGACCCGCACGCAATCAGACAACGACGTGTATCTACTATGCTGCACTGGTACGCTGCACTCGGTAGGTTGAACCTCAGTCGTCACTACTGCAGCCGGATTTCCATCGACTACCGGATGTTTACAATCTGCCACTTGACGGCGACCCGCCGCGCTGTCCGTTACGCACATCGCGGCCCGTTTATCGCATACATTTTTCGAGCTAGCTGATTCGAATCGGAGCACCGTTCCTCCTTCGTCACGAACGCTTGGCTCGCCAAGACGTCACGGAGTCACCGCCGTGAACAATGTTCGCAACTAAGAGATCTTCTTTTAAGTAGGTATTTACCCTGTCAACCAGTTCGCCAAATTTTCGTAATCACGCTGACAGGGCTTTTAGAGTAACGATCGGTAACGCGGGTCGGAAGTCGCGAACGGGTGCAACGAACCCTTGTTTCTGAATCGCGGGCGCCATAGCGACCCCTAAATCACGGCTAGCCACGGCGAATCGCCACTATCGGTACTCTATCTTTCGCACAGACTGTAGGAGGCAGACTGCGTGCACGCAGCGCGTTTTGCATCTACGCGCGCACATGTACTCAACGGCGCAGCGACGGTGTGTAGGTGAGAGTGCAGTTGCGTGACTGGCACGGACTGCGGGAGCGGGCCACGCACCCTTTCCCGATAGTCACGCACCAAAACAAACCCCCGTAAGCCCCTCGACCGCCGCTGCTCGCGATCGCCAGGCCTTTCGATCGGCCACGAAACCGCCCTCCTCCCTCTTCGCTTTCTCTTTTCACGGGCTTATCGGCCGAATTTCTACTACCCCCTGTGTGTCGCGCTTATCGCACTCGCTTTGTATTTGGCGTACTGTGATTTTGGTCAACTCTCAGTGCGTTTCAAATTTCAATGTGCCACAATTTATAATTAAACATCGTCTCTCTCAGGATTTTAAAAATTGATACTGTAAATTTTAGACAACGTGAATTCTATTGTTCATGCAAACAGTTCGTTGTTTTGTTAAAATGTAAATACTACAATTTAAAATATTTAAATTATTTAAATTGTAGATTGGCTATCATAAAGTAAATGAGAACGAAGAGGCGATTTTAATAAATTCGAGATCCGACAGTATCAAGGATTTAAGCAAATCGTTTTATCCAAGATACAATCTGTCGAATGAAATAATAAAGAATACCGCCGGTCGGCGGTAATTAAATCTGAACAGCGGAAATATGTGGATTTAAAAATAAATTTGATATCATTTAAAGAGACTTCGTTTTTGATTACGGAACAACGTTGACCCGTGGCCGTACTATGAAATATATATTTAGAATCTAAAGTAGAATGATGCAATCGTCAAATAGTAAGTTATTTCGGAGAAAGATTGAGTAATATTCTATAATAACGAGGATGTGCGACGTTTCCGATCGGCACTCCTCTTTTCTTTAAACAACGACGAACAACGCGCAGTATGTCGGTTTTAGAACTCGCGGCACAAGGACTTCTCGTGCAAGGATGCCAATTTTTGCGGCGCACGCGAAATTTACGACACGTTGTTGAATATTACACGGGAGGTGAATATTTCACGGCAGTCTAAGTTCAAAGAAAACGTCGTCATCCGGTGGTACGAAACGTCGGCGTATCTTAAATCGGTCGTGAAAGGTAGGAAGGTGCCTTTAGCTAGCTTAGGCTCTCTCTCTCCCTCTCGCATTTTGTGTCTGCATTAAAATTTGCCCGCGCACGGAGTAGGTAGGTATATATACCATCCAGCGTTTTACGACTTTTCGTGAATCGTTCCGTCGACGTCGAGGTAAGCGACACGCGGACGAGACGAGACGAGACGAGGCGAGGCGACGCGCGCACGAACGGCTTGGCAATCCAGCGACAAAAGCGATGCGACACCGGAGAACGCAACTCCGATAGACGACGTTAACCGAACAAGAGGGTTGAGAATCAATTAGACGGCGAGTCACCGGAAGTAAGACATGTATGCTTCCTGGCGCTCACGTCATAGCCTATTGTTCCAAGACGAGAGACTTCATCTTCTTGACATACGAGCCACCTGCACCCTCGTTGGGTTTCCTTCGAATTTGCTGTGTATCTGCATCGATCTCGACGACGAAGACTCGACTACGTAGCTGAGCCTTTACCGAAAAGCGAACAGTAAAAATATTCACCAAACATATATTACTCACGTGTATACTTAATAAAAAAAATATCGAATTTATAAGATAACAGCGAAATTCTACTCGCCTCCGAGGTGTCACGAATTTCTTATTAATGCCTGTATCGATTCTTTAAACGGTTCGATGATCGAACGATCGCGCGGCTATACTTGACAAATTATAAATCATAATGAGCCGTTGAAAGATCCCGGGCGCCTACACGCGGAAGGAGTGGGTCGTTCACGCGCGTGTTTCATCGCTGAGAAACGCGAGGCAAGGTAACGCAGTCTCATTAAGATTAAGACACGCGAGCCATAAATGAAGCGTCATGTGGTAGGCGTTCTACCGACCGCGGTCCCGAAATACGTAACAATCTTTACGTGAAAACGAAAATAATTGTCTCACAAAACGTCGATGTAGTCCGAGCGAAAGTGTATCAGGCCACGTGTACCAGCTGTCGCACTCTGACTCTCGCTCTTCTCTTTTTATTCGTCCGCTCGTTGAACTCGACGGAGTTCGTGGTGAAATACTACTTGACAATAAGTTTTGAGAAAAATCAACCCTTAGCTCGGTGGATACGGAGGAGCTGCCTACGTGAGAACGTAAAACAATGGTGTAACGTCGATGTATAATTGTGGTAGTAACCAAATGTGGCTCGCCCACCTGACCGCGTTCCGTGGTTCGCTCACGTTTCAGCCTTTCTTGTTTATTGTCACCGATAGCTATTAACGTGCCATTACCGACTGAATTACTGTTTTTTTCGTACGTAAATTATTTTAACGCGCCCATTTTTGAATATATAAAGAAAACAAGGATACACGCGATATTAACATATCTTAATATCAGTCGTTTATTATGCACTCATATAAAAATGCTAATCTAAAATTAAATGGCGAGCTATATGATAGCAATGACACAATTAAATATATCAATTTTATGTTCGACTGTGAAATTAATAATTTGGATGTGAAAGAAGTAAAGAGATAGTAAAAAATAATCATGATTTTCTAAACTGTTGATTAATTAAACGATTCGGTTTGCATTCTTTCTGGAACGCGACGATTGCCTCGATTGTCTCGCTTCGCAATTTGAAACGCGTTATCGGCATCGAAACTAGAATTGTTTCGTACAAATCCTGGGATTTTCGATAACGGAACGAACGTGGGTCGAATTAGAACGGGCTACGCGCTATCACGAGAGGAACGGGGCGGTGGAGGAAGTAAGACACGATAACTATTCCATCACCGATTTCAATATTTTAGGCCCGAACCATCCCTCCTTCCAAATACTAATTTATTTTCGCAACATCGACTTTTCCGCGGCGGCAGCTATCAATCTCCATTACAGCTTCCGACAGCGATCGCTCTCAGGCACACCCCTTCTGTATTCGCCCTTAAGCACGTAATATCGTTACCCATTTTTGCATCCGTCGGTTCCGTGAACGATGTGCGTACATCCGCGCTGTAGGTACCGACACGTTGCTTCGTTTTATTTCGCGGCGAACGTTTTAAATCTTGTAAGGTACGATCGAAGGAAGTGGAAAGGGTGCGATGACTCCCTCCTCTCTCCTCGTTAGAAAGTTCGAAAACAGGTTGGTTGGTTGGTTGGTTGGTTGGTTCCGAGTACGAGATATCTTTAACTTTCCGTCAACGCGCTCCTCTTCAACGTCCCGAGCAAACAATTTCGCGACGCATTGAAATGAAAATCAGCGCGAGAGGTGAAACGGTTGCGCCGATCTTCTTCGACCGACCAAGTACTTTAGTTGTACCAGTTTCCTTGAAACCCAGGGTGGCCCAGACTGGTCGCGACAGGTCGAAACGTGAATTCGAACCAGACGCGTCTGACCCGTCACGTCCGTGATTCCGTCTGCGATCGTGTATACAACGGAGCAAAAGGGGTGAGGATCGATAAAATTAAGTACGAACCGGATCTACTCTGGATCGGGGGAAATGTCTCGCGGTAAACGAAAGGTTAAAAAACAGCCGGCGTCTCTAAACTACGTCGTGAAACGTTGCAACAGACACTGACGCTCGTTCGGTAGTTGCCGGGGAGCAACACGGTACAGGGATGAGAATTCTAATTACAGGAAAATGTAAACGAACGGAACCACGAAGTGGTGAACCGGTAATTACGAGTGCAGTACGAGTTTCTTAGGCACTGCATATGGAACTTAGTAACGCGTTATTGCTTTGCTAACCAACGTTACTCTGTGTTACTTCCTCAGACAAATCGTTGTTGGACGCTGTTTCCAGCTTAAGCAACGACTGCTTCGTCCGAGTAATGACTTTTATATAGTCCGCTCCTGATTAGAAGCTATGAATATTGCAAATATTTGGATAATATTCCTGTTACGCAATATAAAGATAAAATTTGGATGAATACTTTCTGGGACAAATAAAAAGTTACGCTATGTCGCATATTTTAGAACATAAAATATCATATCTACTGGATTAATTATTTTCTTCTAGTTATTCAAGTAAAAATCTCCAGTCTGCAGATATTCATGCATGAATCATCAAACCTTAAATATCAATAAAATAAAATATCAAATAAATTCGTTTCTGTTTAATAAAGCATAATTACTCGCAACATCCGGCAAATATTGCGGATACCTTTTAGATGGACGTAATACCGAGAGTTTGTATTCAGGTCTCAAGTTCATAGAACCGATCTGCCCTAGACCCGATTCAGCCGGTTAGCCAAGGTCCACGACACAACTAACCGTATCAGAATTTCGGAAATCAAATGCTGCAATCAACTTACCCCGTTGCGAGTTCGTTCCATATTCTGAATGACACAAGCCGTCGACAGGAACGGGGGCATTCCGAGTAAAGACGAAACTGTCCGGCGAAGAAGCTGCGTCGGTTCGGCGATCGATCGCGAGGAACGCGAGACGACGATCGAACGAGAATCGTTTAAACGAACCACGTGTCATTGTTGCGAGCGTTTTTCGACGAGGCAACGCGAACTTCACGTGTCCTCTGTTGTAACCCGGACCGCCATCTTGCGCGTCCACCATGCGGAGTGAGGTCCCCCACCACGGGATCGTAGCCACTCTTCAGCAGCCGAAGTCTTTTTTTTATCCGCCGATCGTCGGTGCTGTTCACCGCGGAAAAGAATTTTCAACGCGTATTGATGGATTCCATCGATCCTCCTTTGACGCGACACACGCGAGTCACGGAGAGAGAAGCGGCTGTCGTATAGTGAATCTCCAATTCAGATAAAAACGATGGACACGTCGGGTGTCCGAGATATACATACAAACGTATGACGGGAATCTCAGTAGAGCAGCAAGAGTCAAAGCGGTGGATTTCTACTATATATAACAGGCCACGTGAGAAGCGGAACGTCCCGTTGGAGCTCGGGCGTGAATTGCAAAACGTTGCACGATTTTAATATCGTACTGGCTATCGCATAGTCGGCCGGTGACTAACGCCGCTCCTCTTCTATGCGTTATCACGGTCCGCGCCCGTGCAGATTTCGGACGTCAACCGGCACCACGTGGCTATTTGATGGCGTTCTCCTAGTTTTATTCAGAAGGACGACGAATCGGTACGGATTAGAATCGAACCGATGAACGAAATACGCGAACAGAATCACGTTTCTTAATAAAGTTTATTGTCACATCCTATAATATCGTTGGCCCGTGTCGACGAATAGGTCACTGGTAGGAGAAAGAACTCTCGCCACTCGAGTCGTTTCACCTTGGCGAACATCGGCGATCGATCGGAAGGCAGCGATTCGAGAAGACGGTCCGTAGGCGGTGCCACGCGCCCTCCACGCGTGGATAGAATTTCGAACGTCGCAAAAGCTTCTTCTCGATTACAAAGCACACAAAGGCAACAGTGATCGTGGTCGGATTCTGTTCCGTAATTTGTTGATCGACCGAAAACATCATCTTTAAACGGTTCGTGTAAGTCCATAACGGGCACATGTTTTCACGACGAACGCGATAGGAAGAGTCTGTCACCTCGTTATATTTTTATCGGTCTGGATAGATTTTCGGGTGTGTTACGTCGCGGACGGTTAGGCGGCAAGCAGTGAGTCGTGCGTTTGAAAATAGAGGCGCCGCATCGGTGGCAGGCTCGAAACCGCCGCGCGCGCGGCGGCGTTATCCGTCTTATCGCTCGTGGCATTACGTAAGCCACCATGTCGCCCACGTCTTTCCCAGAAGGGGCTTCGGCCGACGAAACGAAGGCTAAAACGCGGACCGGAGAGTGAGCCATCGAACGAGAAGCGATCGGATTAGAAAACAGAATGGCAAGAACGGTTAAAGACGAGAGTAAAAAAGAGCGAAACGGGTCGGCCAGTTATATTCGCGATACACGATCAAGTTTCAAAGCTTTCCTCCTCCTCGTGACGAATGGTTTGCTGGCTGGCTGGTTGGTTGTTCTCGGGCCGCCGCGAAATTCCGCGGCGCGACTTCGGGGCCGCGTTTCACGTGAACGCGATTTACTGCGCAGATTCCGAGTCACGCGGTTCTCTTCATTCGTACCTACGTCGCGCGCACGATAACTTTTCTTTCTCTCTGTGTCCCGCCGCTGCCCTCGGACGTCGAACTTTCCTTATCCCCACTTCACACGCCTTCAACCTCTTTCCATACGTACGACTTACGTTTTCGGTCCTTTCGCTGTTTGCCATTGTTGTTGCGCCACGCTGTTCCGGTTCGCGAAACGTTACCACCAACACCGTCCGATACTTCATCCCTCGTGAACCGCTTGCCGCTCCGTCAGTCTGTTTACAACGATTCCTCACCTCCGCTGCCGTTTATTTTCTCGTCGCCTTTACTCGCTGGCAATTATTCCATCGCGTCCCGATTCTTCCGTGCGGGTTATCGTAGAGTAACCCCGGTCGCTGTCAAGCCCGCTGCTACCGGCTGAACAAATTTCCTCGCTCTCCAATTCCGATTAGTCGCCTCTTTGTTATCAACGTCGCGCTCGTTCCCACGGGGAATTCCTCGCCACTGTTTCCGTGATACAGTCCGTTCCTACGGTGTGTTCCCGATTTCTCACCACTCCGACTGCCGCGTTTCCCGTTGCGAAACAACAAAACGTTCAACGGTCCGGGATACAACATCGTGTCGTCGTTGTATAACGCGATCCTCGTGCGTCTCAGTATCGCTGTCAATTTTCTCCGACTCGGCTTTGGATCGTGACGAAAGACGTCCCGAGCGCGACAAACAACTCGGTTGGATACGAGAAAGTGTGCGTAATACGCGAGCGTCGCGAGGTTCTCGCGCGAGCCTGTGTAAGTGAGAAAACATGTACCGCTTCGCGTGCGCAGAAGCAAAGCGCGCACGCGAGAGACGCAGTTTAAGCCTAAGGAGAGAGCGGCGGCGGCGGCGGCGGCAGTTCTCTGGCTCTCGTATTCTACACACTGGGTGGCCCGGGTTAGCGTACGGCGCAGTTAAAATGGCCACGAGCATGTTGTTTTCTCTTTCTCTTCCTCTGTCGTATTTATCGTCCTTTTTCCTTTCCCGTTGACGGCTCGTTTCGCTCGCACACGCGCGACAGCGTGTACACGTACGTAAGTACGGGGACACAAACGCGCTCGCGGCCGCGACACCGGTGATTCGAAGTTGTCGTCGTCGTCGTCGTCGTTTAACAACAGAAATAGAGAAATACGTCGCGCGGAAACCGAATAAAAATATTCGCGATGACACTTAACGGTAGCGGACACGCGCGAAGATCCGCGTGGGACTGTGCGCTCTAGCGCGAGTTCAACGCCGTGCGCGTCGACACGACACGGCGAACGAGATGCGACGCAAGAGTGTCCAGCGCCGCGCTCGGCCGTCGCCGAAACTGCGAGGGTAAATAGCGCCCCGTTAAGGAGGGGAGGCAACGGATGCGGTGGGGGTAGCACGGAGCAGAGGGAGTCCGCTTAGAGCGAACCGAGCGGTACATGCTGCCGTGAGCGGGAAAGAGAAATAATGAGAAGGGTCGAGGGGAACGGCGACGCGAAAGGGAGGAAGAAACTGAAGAAAAAAGAAACATACGAGAGAAAGAGAGAAATAGAGCGACGGGATAGAGAAGGAGGAGAGACATCTCAAGAGTGCGTCGGGCCAAGTGCGTGGAGTGTCGTCACATCCGGTATTCGGGGTGGCGCAGTACTGGCCCGTATGCGTGCCAGTGTGCGTGCGCGTGATAAAAATCGTCGTAACACGCAGGCACACGCACAGGGTGGATGGAGCGACAGGAGCTACATGACATGGCCCTCGTGCGCTGTATACATGGAAAATGATGTGGTACAGGTCGCTCGAATTCCACCGGTACGGGCTGTCACGTGAGACTTCTCCTCCGGCATTTCGAAAAATTTGTACCCCATGCGCCGTGGGCTTTAATGCACTTCCAGATCGTACAGATATCTCGATTCCGATCCCGACCATCCGATCCGTTTGTCTGAAAAACGTGCGCGCGTGTCGCGGAACGAGTGCAACGAATTCCAAGCTATGCGGAAAATCGTATTTTCTATGCTGCCGGTACTGTTACGTTGTTAGTGTTGTTACGCGCGTGGACCTCTCGCTTCCGTTATGAATGCCTGGCATATCGAACGCCACGGACCGTGGCTGTCATTAATGATTCAGCAATAAAACGTACGCGAAATTACAATTCTGCATCCCTGTCAAACTTAATCGTCGTAATCGGTGACGTTGAACGCGCGGTAATCCATTGAAAAAAGCTACTGCCTTCCGAAAATATTTCAGTTATTTCGTCTCGGAACGAAGCGGTATGATGTTGGCTCAATTAGAGACAATAAGAGGCAAAGAATAGACCACGGCCGTTCTAAAAGTAGCGTCAACATCAAGCGTCAAACGATATGCTCCCGATTAAACCGGGATAAAGCGGTCGAGATCTGTATGGTGGTGCGAGGATCATATTAAAGGAACGCCTTCGCTCGGTACGTTCGCGATTGTCACAGAATAGATACGCGTCAGAAATAACGCACCGCTCGTCGACATTCCTTGTGATACAAGCGTTTGAACGAAGGGACACACAGAGAAATTGTGTAGGACACTAGGCTCGCTGACGATGACCATTCGTTTCGCGTGTGCATTTTCGCGCGCCACTGTACTCTACGTCGAGAGAATTAGAGAAAGAGAGAGAGAGATACCAGCTAACAATACACGTACCGCTCCGTTTTCTAGAATGAGCCGTACCAACAAGCTCGTGGCAGCCAATTAGATTTGTTCGTGGCCTCTGGACTGGCAGCCTAGCCGTGAGAACACGCGACGCGTTGAAAGCTTTCCTCCACGCGCTCGCGAACGATAAAGAGCCTCGCGCTCGATGCATACTATCGACGATATCGTTTTCAGTCTCTCCTCCAACTTAACTGACACCAAACTGTCAATACATATCGCGATCACGTACAAATCTGAACACTTACGCGAAGTTACGTGATTACTATTGGCATTTAACTCCAATTTGCACCGTATCACCGTTTATCTCGATCTCCCGGTTCGATAAATATCCTTTTATCGCGATCGCGACGTAGACATCGTCCAAGATCGTGTGTAATTAAACTTCGCAACCAGACGGGAACTCGAGTGCTACACATTAGCGTACGACTGACGCGAAAATGAAAACTGGGCAAACGTTTTATTATGTTATCGTTCAATGTCGTCGAGGAACGACCTCGAACGGCCCGGCATCCATCCATATACGTATGCTATATATACATGCACATATGTATGCATTTCCGTGTACGTTCAATTTTGCACACACGAGAGCCGCGCACCTAAACAAACGTACGAGTCACGTGGCGCTTGACGTCGCGACGATGCAGCATTTCATTCACGACGATCGATTTCATTAGCGGAACACCGACGGTGTTCCGCCTCGGCGAAACCTTTGAATCGGTCGACAACTTTCGCGTATCGTTGGGAATAATTTTCCATAACGACATATTGATTTTCGCGTTCCAGTGACCGATCATCGGTTACCTATCGATGACGTTCACTGATAACGCGTCACCAACGTTTCGTTCAGGAAGGGAACGCTGCCACGCAACACGCGCCGTCGCTGCTGCTATCGTTTCCCCGCTGCGTTTTTGCGCGTTTATTCCCGTTGTCGTCGTTGAACGACCACGGGAGCTTAGTTTCTACGTAGATAGGTCACGTGACGCGTGTGACGTTTACGTTGCAGTTTCCTCACGTGTCCGCGAACGTCACGCGTGGTTTCTGCCGAACCGCCTATTTTTCGGAACGTGATATATCCACGAGATGTGAGATCGTACAACAGACCAGGAAGGAAAATAAAATCTGGCGAGCGCGTCGCCCAGCACGTTGCCGCGACAGTGAAAAATAATAAGAGAAATAAAGTGACACAACCCTATTCATTTTTTCGGTGCAATCTTTTTAGTATCGGCGTCGATTATCGAGCACGGAATGTTTTACGACTTACTGCCGGTGGACGTAGCAGGAGTTACGCGAGCATCTCCCGTCTTCCATAGTTTTTCACGATTTGGCCGTACTCCAGTGTACAAATATTTGTTTTAGCTCGCCGCGTTGTTGTATTGCTGTTTGAAAAAAAAAATACTACGCTGTTCCTTTTTATCGTCACCGATTGGATAGATGAAATCGTGTTCCGTGCGACGGTACGATGATGTGCACGGATTCTCGTTACAGTATCGCCTGGACGGAAATTTTATTTCAACCGCGCGAGAGTTACTGTTCGCGTGACAGATAGCAATTTTGAGTCCATTACGCGATTGAACGTTAAATTGGCATCGAGTAGGAAGCAATAAAGTCGGATATACGTATATGACGCGTTATCAATGCGGTGAATAAATCCTGTAAACGCATCCCTCTTCGTCCCCCTACGACCCACCGGAGTCACGAGTCACGGAGTAATTTTAATTTTACGACGTTTTGTATCAATTCGTGAAATAATGAAATCCTCGTTGATTAAATGATTTACGCATACGTACATGGGCACTGACGCATGTAGACTTTTTAAAAATTGATAATTTTCCAGCATCGTAGAAGAATCAAGGAGATAGAGAGAAAGTGGCGATCAAAGAGAAGACGTGGTGAGGAACGAGAGACAGAGGTCTGAGACGTGAGAAGAGGAGACGACGATTCCTCGTCGGAAATGCGTAAACATGCTTTGAGATTACTTCCCTAACACTATCGAGGGAATTATCAATTAGAATTAATTAGCAATTAAGCCAGCCGGCGGACAAACTTACCGCGAGTTAGCTCGATGTTCCTGCACATAGAGAGAGAGAGTGAGAGAGGAAGACAGAAAGGAGCGAGAGAAGGACAGAGAGACTTTAAGAGGAGTTGTAGGCGCGGATCAACTCGGTAGCATTCTCATTCAACTGGATTTTGTTTCAAAATTCGCTTAAGCACTCCTTACAATAATCGCTGAGAAATTGTCTGACGATAGGGTAAATACCCTCTGATTTCGCTTTCAAACACTGCCAATTGTAGTCGCGTGGATCAATGATAATAAACATCCGAAAAATTAAACGGAAACGATAGTTTCAACACTGTCTGACTCGATTTCAAAGGATTCACTTTACGTTTTTATTTCTGTACTAAAATAATAAATGTATAATTATAGTGAAACGTCATATGGCTATTTTCATTTTTTCACTTGATGGGAAACTTATTAGAAATAGTTAGAAACGAAGTAGCTCTACTGTTAACACAGTATTAAAGAAAGGAAAATTGATCAAATTGTCATCTACCTTAAAATCTAGAGATGCGGTTCAAGACTTAACTCATTCGACATTCGTCACGCGAACGTCAGAGTCACAATTTGTCGCAGCGCAAAAAACCGGTTTGTCCGTAGATAGCCCGAATGACTCACGAATTTTCTCAAGATCCCATTCTGCCGACATGTTTACAATAGGTAATAATCTCAACGAATTCGCGAGTAATGATTCTCGGTAAATCAACGAAAGCTATTGGCTTAGAAAACTGGAACTTAATACTGCTGATGAATCAAGAACGATGACGATGAGGATGATGAATTCGATTCCGGTGTAGCGCTATGATTCAGAAAATTCGCAATCTATAGGCGCCTAGAACAGCCCACTGATCCACCTCCGAATTGTCATCCGCGAACTCTCGTGAATCATATCGCAGCCAGAACGCAGAAACCAGAAGAATTGATAACGTCGCTGACGTCCGTTTCCAATGATCTTTCTTATCAGCTAGTTGCCGTGTAGCTATTGTTACGCGACTGCCGCGTTCTGTGACGTTAACACTTACGTCTGTTCCGTGGAACAACATCATCACCTCGTTGATTACTCGCGAAAAAGGTGCAAGATTGAAAGAGCTCTACGCGGTAGATTTTCGATGGCAAGCGTAATGAGCTAAATTGAATGAAATATTTTTATCAAAGAGAGGAATAATTTGAATAATGAGAAGAAACTTAAACGTGCTAAGAAGTTTTGTAAAGAGAAGCTATGTACTACTGCACACAGTGGCTACTCAAGGCGACGGTAAAGTCGGTCCTCTCGAATTCTCTTGGTGGTGATACCAAGAAGAGATTACTAAAGAGTTTCAGCCTTATAGGATTTTATGTCGCAAGAAAAAGTCTGTAATCTTTGACGCTCTCTAGAATATATTGCCACCGAAATAAGAAATTAAAAAGAAACCACTACCCCTTAAATGTTTTGTCGAAGAGTAATGAAGAAAAATATTAATTGCAAAAAAATTTTCATCCTAGCGAAAAATGCTTCGGATAAAAATTGTAGCTCCAGATGTCAGCTACAAATTTTACTGTGTTTTAAACACCATTGGG